TGCGGCAGCGCGCGGGCAGCCGGGCGCGCTGCCGCCGCCCCTGGGCACTGCGGTGCAAGACCCCCCCTCGGCGCCGCCCGAGAATGAGAAGGATGTGCGCGAGTGCAGAGGGGGGGCAGAGAGGCCAACTACGCCCCGAATTTGCGAATCCGCGTTTGCACCTTTTTGACAGCCGCGGGGTGGCAAGGGCGCCTCCATCGCATCGGCGCAGTGGCACTCTCTCTCGGGGTGGGCGGCTTCGCTGATCTGACGCCGTGCCCCAGGCGCGCGGGGGCGTGTGAGAACGCTAGTTAGCTGTCTTGGAAGCCCCTCCGATATCCGCAAGAGTCGCCGGAAATCCACCCTCATGTTCGCTTCTGGGAATCATATGCCCCCGTGCCTGCGGCGCGTTGAGGCGTGGAAGAAAGCCAAGGGCTGCCTGGCAGGATGTTTGAAATCCGCCGACCCCTTGGGGTCGCGGCGCGCGAGATGCCCCCCCCCCCCCCCCCCCCCCCGCGCACGCGCGCACGCACACGCGCGCACGCACGCGCGCACCCCTCCCCCAGGAGCCCAGCCCAGCCAGTTTGGAAGGGGGGGGCAGAGGCGTCGGCCGCACCCACGGGGCCTCAGAGGCCCCAGAGACGCCCCAACAAGCCACCGAGCGGCGTCCCGAGAGGCTCTCCAGAAGCAGGAATCGCCCCTTCCCCTGGGGAAACGAATATGTTTAACACATTCGCCTCTCGTGCTTTCACGACGCCCACAACGGCCCAAAAAGCTTAGAATGTCGATCCAAGATAGCCCAAGAGACCCCCAGGACGGCTCCAAGAAGGCCCAAGAGGGCCCCATAGACGGCCCCAGATGCTTCCAAAACGAACCAGGAGGGCCCCAGGACGGCCCCAGGAGGAGGCCCAGAGGGGGAACCCGAATGAACATGTCGAGGACTCGGCACCGAAAAAACCTGAGGAGGCGCCAATAAGCCCCCAAGAGGCCCCCACAAGGCCCCCGAGAGGCCCAACAAAGGCTCCTGGAGGCCCCAAAACGGCTCTCAAATGGCATCAAAAGTGTTGCAGGACGGCCCAGAGAAACCCGAAAGCAGAGCGGCGATCCGCAAGCCGCCCCCGACGAAATCCCAAGCAGCTGAAACCCCAAGATTCCCCAGAAATCGTTCCGCAAACTCCGCTTTTCACTCCTACTGCCGCCCAAAGGGGTCGGCGGCGCGGCGTCAGCCAATGAATCTTCCAAGGGGCCCCACCCACTTCGGTAGCGCACGCCTGACTGCGCCGCCCCTATTGCCGGAGGGTCCCTGAGCGGCCGCGGCCTCTTCCCGGCGGCGCTCGAACGTTCCCGCGACGGCCCCGGAGGCCCCCGGGGCGGTCCAAGAGGGCCCCGAGTCGCCGAACGACCGCTCGAATACGCCAAGGACGGCTCGAAGACGTCCCAAAAGACATCCGAGACGCCCCAAAAAGCCTCCAAGAGGCCTTGCCCCCCCTCAGGTTCGCTTCTGAGAGACGCCCGCCACCGCGCCTGCGGCGCGTCGAGGCGTGGAAGAACACAATGAGCTGCCTGGCAGAATTCCCGTTGTCTTCTACGCCCCCCCCCCCCCCCCCCCCCCCCCCACGCACTCACTTCGGGGGCGCCCGCCTGACTGCGCCGCCCCTATTGCGGGGGGGTCTCTGAGCGGCCATGGCGCCCTGGAGCTCTAGGGCTTCCACGGCGCCCCCGGAGGCCCCCGGGCGGTCCGAGAGGGCCCCGAGTCGCCGAACGACAGCTCGGAGACGCCAAATACGGCTTGAAGATCGCCCAAGAGACCTCCAGGACGCCCCAGGAGGCCTCCAAGAGCCCCCCCCCCCTCAGGTTCGCTCCTGAGAAACGTCCGCCACCGTGCCTGCGGCGCGCGGAGGCGCGGAAGAATGCAATGGGCTGCCCGGCAGGATTCCTTCAGTCTTCCAAGGGGCCCCCCACCCACTTCGGTTGCGCCCGCCTGACTGCGCCGCCCCTATTACCGGGAGGTCCCCGAGCGGCCACGGCGCCCCCCCTGAGGCTCTCCGAGGCTTCCATGGCGGCCCCGGAGGCCCCCAGGACGCCGGCCGGGTGCGCCACGCGCGAAAATTGCGCCTGCTCGTGTGACAACGCAGATCGGACAATCTGCCGACCCCCATCACCGCCCCTGACGCAATTTTAATCCAAAGTGACGCGACGAAAGATGCACCGAACATGTTGCGTTGATATCTGACAAGGGCGTCGCGCTGGCGCGTTGTCACGGGTCGGCGGGCACTCGAGTCGGAGAGGGCGCGTTATTGCACGTGCTCCCCCCCCCCCGTCGCGGAGAATGGGGAAGGGAGGGCTGCTCTTTTTCTTGAGCGACAAAGGGCTGCAGGATTTCGGGTCATCGCCAAAACAGTCTGATTATATGTTGAGATAAGCATGTGTGTATATATATATATATATATATCTCAGTAAAACTACAAACTTCCCAGCACCCCTCCTTGGGCGCAGGGGAGCGGCTCGGCCCCCAACCGAGAAGCATGATCAAGGTACCAACTTTATGGTCCCTTCGGCGGGCCTTCCGCGGGACTCCCCGCGGACCCTCAGCCCGCGCGCGGGTCTACCCGCCGCGGGCAGGCGCGGGACTAACCGCAGCCTTGTCGTTAGCTCAGCCTCGGCCGTCGTAGTGCTTCCTGCGACCATCCGTCTAGCTGTCTGAGTGAATCAGCTTCGAGTCATCGAGGCGATCTCGGCACTCGCTCTTGAACGTCTCAATCCACCCTTGCGCGGCCTCAGGACTACTCAAGTCCTGGAGGTTGATCCTGCGCAGGGGTCCGCGCATCTTAGCCGCCACTCTGAGCTGCTCGATCTCCTTGGCCCGGCGATCCGATAGGACGTTGCCCTTCTTGATCAACCTCATGATCAGGTCGTCTTTGAGACCGCCCGCGCGTGGGCCTTTGGCTCTCAAGACCTTCGAGTCGGCCACGAGAAACGCGTTGAAAAGCTTGTGCCCCGCTCCTCCGTCGCATCGTGCTGGGCGAGGCTGCGTGCCAAGTCCTTGTGCGCTCCATGGACTTGACCTCCACGTCAGCCCGCGTAGTCAGGTAGACGTCGGCGTCTCCAGGAGCGGGGCCAGTCGCCTCCTGGATAAGGTCCTTCTTGAGGTAGTTCCTCGCGTAGCAACCGCGCGCGCATCCCAGAACAAACGCTGCAGCGATCATCGCAAAGACACCCGTCTTCAATATGAACCAGAACTCCTCGCGATCCGCGTAGTGGGGCACAGGTGCGGGGCAAACCGCTGCCTGGCCTGGCTCCTCGTACACCGTCACCATCGTCGACCACTCGTTGTACTTGGTGCGCACGTCTGCCGTCATATCATTTGTGTCCTCCTTCAGGAGCTCAAACGCCTTGAGTTGCAGCCGCTCTGGTCGTGCTCGTGCAGCTCGGCGCTGACCTCGACCATCTGCTCGATCTGCTCCTCTTCTGGTTCTCCCAAGTGACTCCTGACCGTGCCGATATGGCTCATCAGGCAGCGCATGCGTGCACGCTCACCTCGGTGGCACTTTTCTAGCTGGCATCTCGACGAACACTTCTCACGCCCATCCGAGCATCTTGAACTTCGCTTCGGGTGTGGACCCCACTTCGGGTCGAGCGTCTCGTCGTAGCCTTCCTCGCAGACTGCCAGTTCACAGACAGAGAGCATACCAATGGTTGCTACTCTTGGTTTCTTGATCTCCACTACGGCGCTGGGGTCTCCTGGGGCACCTCGGTGGAAGCCGCTCCTGAACTGATCAGGTTCCGTCTGCGTGGCTGTCTGTGCTTCTGCCTCCCCTGGGGCGGGAAGCATGGCCGCGTCCTCTGCAGCGCGCGCGGGAGCTGCCGCTGCCTCACTGCTGCTCGACGCCGCTTCTGGCCCAGCCGCCGCCCCAGGCGCGGGGGCCCCCGCAGCCGGGGCTGGCGCCGCCACCGTGGCCTCTGGGGCCACAGGGCCCTTCTCCAACTTCTCGCGCAGGAGGTCGGCCTGGATGGTCTCAAATCGCCGACGGCAGGCTCCCGAATGCGATCCATATCCAGCGCTGCATTGCCCGCAGTCGTCGGCCGAGCCGTGAACTTCGATCATGCGCTCCGTGATGTACATGCTGCGTCCGATGGGCCCTGCTCTCTTGTCAGGTGTTTCCACGGCGCCGCCCTGCTGTTCTGGGTGAGCTCGGGCAGCCACCTAAACTCCTCTGGCATCCTCCGCGCGGCCCTGACCTTCTGCGCGCCACAACCTGGGTCGATCACGAAGTGAGTGTCGTCCAACTCGTTCTTTTCAACCCAGATCCCTTTCGCGAAGCGGGCCTCCCACTTGCCGCGTCCAGCAGCGACTCGGGCTGAGATCCTATGCCGGACCTGCTCGCCCATCTCCGCGATCCCCCCACTGTACTCAGTGCCGCGCAGCATCGCGTGGGAAGGGCCTCCGCGGCTCGCGGCTGGAACCTGGCGGCCATCCAGCCCGCCGAAATGACGAACCAAAGCGCGATCGGATCCGTCATCTGGATCTCGCGTCCCAACATTCAGGGGGACGTAAGACCTGGGCACAGGGGGCTCGGAAATCCCCGACGAGGTCGTCAAAACAATGACGAGGCCGAGCATACATTTTGACGAGGCCTCCCGCTGCAGACATCCCACGAAACTCCTCCTCGTCAAAATCCGAGGCGCGGTCGTCAAAAAACGATGGCGGACCCGAGTCCTGGCAAACCCGGGTCTTACGCCCCCCCGAAACATGTGCTCCAGCTTCAGCTTGTAGGCCCGTGGCAAACCTGCTGCAAGCTTGTTGGCACCCTCGGCGCAGCCAGCGCTCTGCCTGGAGAAAGGCGGCGATCCCCGCGCCAAGGCAGGGCGCGACCTGCGATCCCGAACTGCCTTCGCCAGGTCCATCGCGGCAGTCCCCTGATCTGTCTGAAGGACAGCTGTTGCGTGACTCCAGACCTCCAGCACGCTATCAGGAAGGACACCTTGGAGTCATCCAACTCTTTGCTAGCATGCAACATCGCTTGTGCGGGATCTTGCAATCGATCACGTTCAGAACCGCGATCGCCTGTTCGAGATCTGCCATCGTTGCCGGCGGCTTCTCACGGATGCTGGAGTAGCCTCCCTTGCGCTTGCGCATAGCCGCCAACTGGTCAGTTCCCACATAGAAGATGTCGAACACCACCTTCGGCACTTGCTTCTCGCCCGCTGGCCCCTGCACGTCGCCTGGATCGCCATCCGCCCGGGCGCCCGCGCACACTGGGCACCAAGGGCGAAAAGGTAGGTGATGCCCTTCCTGCGCGGCCCTCTCCGCAACGCTAGGTTGGTAGGGTGACTTTAGCACTCTCGTCGGCGCAGTCGTAGTCTCGTTCGCGCCTGGGCCAAGAACCCTCGGTGAAGGTCCAGCTTCTTGTTCAGCTGTGACCTTCCGCGGCAGCGTCTTCCTCGCTGATGCCACTCGCGCGTCTTCTGGTTGGGGCTTGCAGTCTATGCTGTGTTCGTACTCTAAGTAGTAGTTGGCCTGATGCCGTCGTAGAGGTGCGAACTTAGCTCCTGCAGGTGGCTCGACGGTGCCGTCGATGATCCAGCGACTTGCAGGACTATGGACAACGCCCAGGCCTCGTTGCACTACCGCATCTGCGGCCAACGCGGGATACTCCACATCAGCAATTTCCGCACCCACTGGGACTGCCTCTCCTCCTCTGGACAGGTCAAGCTCCACATGGCCGCGCCCATTCGACCTCCTCGCCTCCGATGCCCTTCACGCCAACGACGTTACTGGCCGTCGGCGCGTCGTTGTGCTGGGCAACCTGCTTTCTCGACACGGCGCTGATCTGCGCGCCTGGGCCGAGCGCGATGGCAGTCCGAAGCCGGGCCAAGCGCAGTCGGTAACCTTCTAACCCCTGCTCCTGCAGGCCTCCGACCTCGAGCAGCGGGGGCCCGACCGCAGCTGGCTCGCAGCAGCTGCAAGAAGTCGAACTTCGAGCGCCCGTGCTTGTCCAGGCAGTATTCTGCGCACGCCCCGCAGAAGTCCAGCTCCCACTCTTCGTAGTGCCATCTTTTACCCCTGAGCATTTTCTTGCGCGAGATGCAGATGAAGTCGCGGTAGGCGGGCAATGTGTACTTCCAATCGATCCCGCGGGTTCGTGCCTTGTGACCTCGGCCCTCAGGCCCAGAATCATCTTCGCTCGCAGCCCTCTGCAGACTGGCGAGGTGACGGGCAATGTCGCTGCGCTCTCGGCACTGCTGTGCGCCCCTGGCAGAAGCTGCGCGTGCATCGTCGACCCTGTCGCTGGAGCTACTCCTGCTCGGCGCATACTCTCGAGCTCTTCTACTGCTGCTGCCGCGACCCTCTTCTCTTTGAGCTTGTATTTTCTGCGTTGCTTCTTGTCCTTGTTGTCGTGGTTGGCGGCTGCCTTCCTTTCGTCGGCCATCCGCTTGCGGCAGTTGGCGCATCGGTGGCCCTGTGCAAGTATTGCTCTCCAGGTCGGAGTCTGGGTTCGGCTGCCTCTCCTCCCCCTTGCCTTCCATGCCGTTGCCGCGGCCTTTCCACGCCTTCATGCCGCCCTTCAACCCACCGATGTCCATCGGCTCGTCGCGGGCCGCTCGCTCCGCCGTCAGCGCTGACACGACTTCGGCTCGCAAGCGCTCGCGCGTGCGCAGCCGGCTGCTGCTCCGAAGCGCGTGCTTCTGCTACTCCGCGTGACCATTCAGCGCCTTGGTGAGGATTCCTCGCTTGATGAGATCCGACACGGGCTCGCCCGACATCTCCTGGGACCTCGCCATGTCCTCGTCGAGCTTGCTGATGCTCACCATCACGTCGTCGGCTGCCTCGAGCCTCGTGTCCGTGAGCTTGGTCCACGTCGCCAGCGCGTTGCCTACTTCGCTTGGGTTGTACTCCTTCTGGAGCTGCCTCCAACAAGCTGCGCCTTCGCCAAATGCTGCTGTTCCTGACGATCATCTCCGCCGCCGAGTCCTCGGGCATGACAGGGGCCAGGGCAAAGTACAACTGCGTGCTTAGCTCCTCCTCCTGGGCTGACAGTTTCACGTCGTCCACTTCCTGCGCTCCGTTTTCGCACTTCTCGGGGGGAGGTCGATACCTTCGGTCTTGCGCGATCAGGCAGGCCTTGTACTGGAAGCTGAACGTCTTCCAGCTCGCTCTCTGACCGTCGGACGGCTGCACTTTGCGAAGAGTCTTCGGGTCCATCATCTCGCCGCGAGGCCCTCGTTTTCTGTCGGCTTGTCCTTGAAGCTGGCCTCGCGTCTCGGCTATTGCCAGATCTCTCTGGTGAAGCTCGTTCCTCATATGCTGACTCTCTGTCGTCAGCCTCTGCGCCTGCTCGACCAGATCTCGCACTTGACCCTCCATCTTTGTTGTCGGCCTTCATGTGGCGCGCGAGATCGAGCGCGGGCTGTCGCTTCACCGCTGCTCGCTCTTCTTCCGTAAGCTGAGCGGCGTCGCCACACTCGGCCAGTTTCCTCCAGGTGCTCCCTCGGTTCTGGCGGTGGGCTCTTGCCTCTGGGGCTCTGCCACCGCGCTTGCTCGCCTTCTTCGCCTTGCGCTTGCCCGCAGGCTTAGCCTTGAACTTGCTCGAAACCTCAAGTCGAACTCTCAGTCCGACCTCTTTGCCAGGGCGCGGGGCCTCCCGCGGCTCTAGCCAACAAGGGGTATTCCGTTGTAGAGCAGAGCGAATCGTCTCGCTGCTGCTTCCGCGGTCCTTCCGCCGCTGGGTCTCCTTGAAGGGCTCCTGGAGCTCGCCGAATGCGGAACTGGCCCGCGAACCTCAAGCGAGCTCCGCTACCACGCGCGCGCCCCCCCCCCCCCCCCCACACACACACACACACACACACACACACACACACACACACACACACACACACACACACACACACACACACACACACACACACCACACACACACACACACACACACACACACACACACACACACACACACACACACACACACACACACACACACACACACACACACACACACACACACACACACACACACCCACCCACCCACGCGCGCACACCCCGCCCAGCCCCACCCCACCCCCACCCACCCCCGTCGCGGAGAAAGGGGAAGGGAGGGCTGCTCCATATCTTGAGCAACAAAGGGCTGCAGGAGTTCGGATCATCGCCCAAACAGTCTGATTATATTTTGATATGCCCATGTGTATATATATACAGATGTATACACATACATAAAACTATATATATATATACATATATATATATATACAGACATGCATAACTATATACACACCTATGTATATATACATACATACATACATACATACATACGTATATACATACATACATACATATATATATGTGTATATATATATATATATGTACGTTAGCCCCCCCCCCCCCCCCCCCCCCCCCCCCCCCCCCACATGATCATACATATTCGTCTTCACCGCGGCCGCCGATCGATATCTTCTTTCTCCGTTCCCTTCTCCTGTCTCTTCCTTTCTCTCCTCCTCCTCCTCCTCTTCCTCCTCCTCCTCCACCTCCCCGTGCTATTCCTTCTCGGAATCATCGAAATCGTCAGAAACTGAAGAAAACCTGAAAAAGAAAAAAAATCTGGGGAATTTCTGGGACGGCTGGCGGCCACAATTCGCCAGAAATCGTAGTTGTTTAGTTTGTTTTTTTGTTTCGCCTCCTCCTCCTCCTCCTCCGCCTCCACCTTCTCCCTCTTCTCCTCCCCCTCCACTCCTTCTTCTCCTCCTTCCCCTCTCCCCCTCCTCCGGTATGCCGCCGGCCGTCAGCATGAGGGTAGGTACCGCAATTCCACCGATTGCTATCCAATCTGTCGCAACCGTTGCGTTGCTATGTTTCCAGGCGGAGCGCACGCATAGAGGTCTACAAAAGATGGTGGTTCATACGTGCGCGCGCGCATCGCACCGACTGCCATCGGCTACGACTGCGTCGCGCATCATGTGCGCTCGCACGGCGCGGCCGCCTCCTCAGTCAGCCTCGCTGCGGCGCGCCATCGCCGACTCAGAGGGCGGCCCCCCCTCGTCAAGCACGCGCGCGAGCTCTGCCGACAGACCGTCGCCATCCTCGACGTCGATCGTTTCACCGTGGGCCGAGGCGGCAATGGAAGCGAAGATCGCCCTCTGCTCATCGGCATCCACGGGTGACAACGGACCACCGCAGCCCATCATGAGCCCCCATCGCCCTCTTCACTGGCGGAGGCGAGGACAAGTCCTCGAACGCACCGTGGTGCGCCTTGGTGAGGCTCTTGAAAATCGCGAGCTGCTCGTCCTGGTCCTCCTTGGTGAGCTCGCCGCAACGCCCAGCGTTGTTGGGCTGCGCGGAGCTGGCGGCGCGCGAGCAGTCTTCTGGCGTCTCGTCCAGTCCGCCGCCGAAGCCGAACACGTCCTCCTCCTGGGACAACTCGGCTGGCGGCTGGGAAGACGTCGAAGCGGCCGCGGCGGCTGGCGGAGCGCTGGCCGCGCCTGGAACGAACCCTGAAACGTTGCCGACAGCGGAGACAACGCGCGCAGGGCCATCGCCGAAGATAGGAGCAACACGGACAGTCGCAATAGTGGGCACGTCAAGGCCCGCGACCACATTGCTCATGTACCCAATCGAGCAAGCCATCTTTTCGGCGTAGTCTGAGGGGAGCGGGCGGATGGCTGGCGACGTCGTGTCCCGCACTTCGCTGACGAAGAGGTCGGGGCTCCTGGGGTTGGGCCACGGCATGAGCTCTGCACCATCCTGCAGGTTGGCGGATGCCACGCGCCAATGCACGCCGAGGTCCGTCACCACGATGACGTGCGCCCTGGCGAGGATGGCGTTGAAGTCCTCCTCTGTCCTGGCATCCCCCAGAGACGGCGCGATGATGCGCTTGAGCAGGTCGAGGCCGTGCTTGTTTAGCGTCGCGGCATCCAGCGCCGCCTTCTCCGCGTCGCGGTCGTAGGGGTTCGCGACGGCCTGTCTGCACGACCCTTGCTCGAGAGCGCAGCCGCCCCTCCGAGCCCGCAGCAGAGCGTCCTCTTCCTTGGGGTTCAAGAAAGCCTTGAGCACATCAGCGGATACCTTCAAGCGGCCAAGCGTCCGCCCGATCACCAACGCCACCGCGACTTCCACTTGGGAGGGCGATGCGGTGGGAAGAACCGCAGTCTCCCTGAAAGCCGCGGGCGGCAATGGCGTGGGCCACGCCAGGCCACCGAACCTTCTGAAGCAGGCCGTCGTCGAAAATGCCAGGGAGGATCTCCGCCGTCGGCTCGCCCTTGAAGAAATCCAATTGCTTCACCGTCAGGAAAGCGATATCATCGGCGGTGCCCTTCTTCTGTATGCTGTACGCCGAATGAACCCAAGCAAGCGTCTTCGATCCGTTGCTCTTGCCAACTCTGGACTTCCCGACCCACAGCACCCCGTGCACGTGGAGCGTGCCAATCATCAGGCGGAGGACGCCATTGAGGAACCAGCCAGAGAAGTCCTTCAGCGTCAAACTCCAGCGCGAGATCGGTTTGGCATTCGTCCTGCCCTTCTGGTAATTGCGCAGCGCAGTCTCCACCTTGGACGCAGGCCATCCGAATATCTTCGAACCCTCCCTGTTGACCTCTGTGTCAGCCCATTCCATGAACTGGTTTCTGTTATTGCTGCGGGGGCCGTGTTCACGGATGAACGTGTAACCCTGCGCGCGCTCGTCCTCCTCTAGCGGCTGCTTCCGCTCGCGCTGCGGCTTGATCGTGAAGTACATTGCGGTGGAGGCGCTGGATAGGCATACATACGGTGAGAAGCCCAGGGGGTCCCGATCGCTGGGTCGCCACAGACAGGGCGCCCAACTCGTTTTGAAACACGGGGTGGGGGAATGCCCCTGAGCTGGGGCGGGCAGGAGGGGGATCTTTATCCGAGCGCGCCCACCGTATTTGATAGCCCTCGAGCTTCTCCAGCATGAACTGGAACGCAATCGACCCCGCCCGAAAGTTTTTGCCGTAGTCGATTTTGTGGGCCTCTCCGCGAGCACACTTGAGGATGGTCGCAGAATCGACTCTGTTTTTATCGAAAGAAACAACCTTGAGGATGCGGTATGCCGAACACTCGCTGTCCTCTGGCTTCCGGCGAACGATGAAGATCTGCATCGTGCACGGGACGACGGGCTCCTGCTTGAGCGACAGCGGCTCCTGCAAGTCCTTGAACCTACCCTGTGCGCACAACTCGTGCACCTTGTCGAAGTCAATCGGGCCCTCGTAGTTGGATACCATGTCGGCGAAGGCGACCAACTTCGTGGC